ATGTAGATAAGTTATCTACATTCGCTTTCAAAATGACGTCGTTTTGGGTTGAAAAATTTAAAAAATATAATAAAAAAGACTATTATAACCCTAAAATAAATTATAATTACGAAAATACCTTGATTTTCGTCTCAAAAAGACGTCGTTTTGGGCTCAATGTAGATAAGTTATCTACATTGTCTGTAGAAAATCGAACCATATATATATATATATATATATATATATATATATATATATATATATATAGATACATACATACATACATATATATATAGGGTTCGCTTTTTTTTGCAGTTACTGCAAATAAGTTATCTTTAGTAAGCCCAATACGACGTCGTTTTGGGACAGAAATCATGATATTTTTGTAATTTTAATTTATTTCAGGATTATTATAGTCTTTATAATTATAATTTTCTAATCTTTCAATCGCAAAACGACGTCGTTTTGAGAGTAAATGCAGATAACTTATCTGCATTAACTGCAGAAATATTTTTCTGGTATATATATGGGGTTTACATTTCTGCGCTGCTGTACGTGCAACAATCAAATACTTGCCGTATATATATATATATTTAAAAACATTAAATGCGGGGAATCATAACCATACAAAGAATGAAAGCATTAAATGTCGGGAATCATAACCATACACCTGTCGTTTCTGTACGTAAAACAGCTGCAAAAATGATTTTACCATATATATATATGTATGGGTTCGATTTTTCTACAGTTGTTATCTACATTGAGCCAAAACGACGTTGTTTTGATATAGAAATCAAGGTATTTTTATAATTATAAATTATTTCAGGATTATAATAGTCTTTTTCATTATAATTTTTAAATTTTTCAACCCAAAACGACGTCATTTTGGGAGCAAATGTAGATAACTTGTCTACGTTCACTTTAGAAACGTTAAAGCCTATATGTATATGGGTAAACATTTTTACAACCACTTTAGATAAGGTTATCTACAGCTATCCCTTTTTAACTAAGTATGACCGACTATACATAAAAATTGCATTTTCTCTCTCCGCTACGTCAGCCGACAATGTTTTAAGAGAGAGAGAGAGAAAAGAACAGATTTTGTTGTTTTAACTATATATGACCGGTCATACTTAGTTAAAAATGATAGATGTAGATAACCTTATCTAAAGTGGATGTAGAAATACTTTTCTCATATATATATATATATATATATATATATATATAGGGAATGATCTGTTTACGATTTTTTTTTATAAATTATACTAAGTATGATTGAAATATGATGGGTCAAATATAGTGTAGTAGTTTGTAAACAAAAAATTTATAAATATAATATTCTTATATATATATATATATATATATATATATATATATATGAGGTAAGATCTTTTGACATCAGTGTCAAATTAGAAATTTGACACCTCATTTGAGAGCCGTTAGATCAAAAAAGATCAATGGTATCACATACTTATAAATCAGAGTCGTTGATCTTTTTTGATCTAATGTCTCTGAGATGAAGTGTCAAAGGATCCTACCCCACTCTCTCTCTCTCTATATATATATATATATATATATATATATATATATATATATATATATATATATATAAGTAGATAAAAATTTAGATCAATGAAAGACATATAAATATAGGGTTCATTTTTTCTGCAGTTACTGCAGATAATTTATCTACAGTAAGCCAATACGACGTCGTTTTGGGACAGAAATCATGGTGTTTTTGTAATTTTAATTTATTTCAAGGTTATAGTTATCTTTATATTCATTATTTTTTAATATTTCAATACCAAAATAATGTCATTTTAGAAATAAATACAGATAACTTATCTGTATTAACTGCAAAAATATTTTTCCCATAAATATAAAGCAGAGAAGATCACTAATCTTATTAAGGGTTTATAAAGCCAAATCACGAGGGGAAGATTGGGGTAACTATAGCGATTGTCGTTAACAGAAATTATATATATTTTAAATAAAAATGATGTGACTTGTGGTAGGTGAGGATCAAAGACTAAAATTTTAATTCTTCTATTAAGATAGTTAGATTTTAAAAATGTTATATGTTTTAATTAATGAATTACTTATTGATGCACACGCCATACACACTACCCATACTATATTGGGGAGAAGGATGGATGGAACAGAATTAAATTCAAAATTCTTATATTTATTCCTTGAAGTTGATTAATACCCCCAATTAAGAGTAGAAGATAAATGGAAAAATAAATAAATCAACAAATGAAGCAATGTGATCATAGTTATTTATTAATATAAATTTGTGCAAATAATATTACGATTATTATTATTGTATTTGCATTTACATAATTTAAATATGTATAATATAAAGGTTCTTTATTGTCATATGATTTTTTTTTAATTTTTCATTTACATAGCTATTTTTTTAAACTTTAAAAATTTTAATTTCATTTTTTTTACTTTCACTTTTTTTAAATTTGAAGTTATTTTTTTATAAAAAATTTATAATCTAATTATATTTTATTTTTAATAAATTACAAAATACATACTTTAATATAAAATTATATATTCGTAAAATTCCCTAAAAATATTAGCTTTTTTCATGTTTATATATTATCTTTTAATTTTAATCTTATAAGTTTCAATGATAAATTTAATCTTTTTTCATATCTGATAAGAAAGGAAAAAGTTTATAATCGATTACACCTTTTTTTTTCAATACTTAATTTATTAAGTGTGTCTTGTAATCGATTAAACGAGGCATATTCATGTATAATTTTGGAACGAGAATAAAATGATTATTTTTTAATTAATAAAGAACAAAATGGTTAAAAAACCAGAAACATTATCAAAATGTAATTGAGATCGAGTTAAAAAAGACTCAATATTTTAAATAAATTAGTAATATTATTTTATTTTATTTTACTTATATTTAATAATATTTAAAAAAGTATTTATTATTTTTTATGAGATTATAAATATATTTGATATTTTTGACCAAATTTTATCTTTAAATTATATTGATAAAACAAATTAGTTTAAATGTTCACTAAATATTTTTTATTAAATAAAAAGTTATAATTATAAATACTTGATTTAAACAACTTGTTGAATGAACTAGTAAAATTATAAATATTTACTAAGTCACATTCGATGTAAAATAAAAAAGTGAATTGATTGTTAGTTTTCATTAAAGTAATTTCACTTATAGAAATCATAAGAGTTACGAGTGTTTATAATTTATTTGCAAATATGGTGACGTATATGTGATAGAAATAAATTAAACAGGAACACAGAAATTTTGAGGCAGACAAAAATAAATGGATTGATCCATAGTCCTAAGTATACACTGGGGAGATATGAGCGTAAAAATGAGACGTGAACGTCTCTGAAATGAGATATATATGAACCATAGCAGCCCTATCATATCTTTCCCATATGTAATGCAGGATCAACATACATGCAAGAACTATAGCTATGAGAGTGACACGATCAAACGAGGTTGGGAATTGTTTGGCTTGTTTAGTGTAGAGTTTTGGACTTGAGGTTTGGGACAGAAGCATCCCGTGAAATGAAAAGACTAGAAACTAAGCAGCTACCAATTAGTTACTGCATGTGAGACAAAGAGTTAGCCACCTCATCTCTAGTTTTTTTTTTTTTAGCATAAAAGCCATTAACAAAAAAAACGACACTTTCCATTCTTTCCCTCGTGACAGCTCGCTAGAGGTTCACGAGAGGGAGTGATTGTTCTCTTTTTCTAATATATTAATAATATATGTGCAGCTTTTTATGGTCCCCAAACGAAAAGCTGTTTTATGTGCTGAGTTTGCTTCACGGATGTTTCAGAACTGATCTTTTCAACAGTTTCTATTATGTAACTTATTTAATATTTAGACTTCTGCTCTGTGAATTGCGTGGTTTTTAATGAGATATTGTTTTGTCCCTTGTTATGCTCTACTTATTTCAGAACCTTTTTTAATAAAAGAAATCTGAAGATACTCATCAATGTTTATACTTTTGATTGAGAAAACTGAATTTTGTTTTAAAAGGAAAATGACAAATCATGTTTGTATTATCTCCCGCACAAATTTCTCAAATGTCTAAGTTTTGCATCCCTAATCGAAATACGGACAGAAACACAAGCAACAAATTATGGACAATGTTGAGAATATTTTATGGAAAATACTATTCTCATTTTACATAAGATAGTTATCTCATGTTCTCTCGCTTCGAAAACGCATTTTTTTTTTCTTTTGTCTTTTTTGTTTTTTAATTATGAGTCCCACTTAGATTTTCTCTATAACACGAGAGTACTCTCATGTAACATGATAGTAATATTTCTCATATTTTATTCCATATTTCCGAACCATTTCAAATTGAAACAATAATAGAATCACAAGACAAGAAACACATTTTGTCATTCACAAATGTCTAATTAGTCATATAACATATAAATGGGGCCCAAATGCGTATATACATACATAAAATTAAAGACATAACTTTAATTTGGATAATTGAAAAAAATTGTCTTTAATTAACTCTTGGTTTATGCTACCATCTAAAAGATTAACTTTTTGGTTTCTTAAGATATTCCAATATTCTAAGTATAAGATTATTTTCTTTTCAATACGAAAAGATATGCTTATGTCCTTTTGTACAAATGTATCTCTAGAATTTAAACTTTGTCAATTTTTTCCCACTGTTGCAAAACCCTTTGGATCTAGAATTTTATTTCATTATAAACTTTGTCGTGAATAATGTGGCTATGTTTGAGAGACAGACAGCACTTGCCCATTAAGAATTCTTTATCTATGATCTCTCCCATTCTTTTAGGTAGACGTAGACCCAAACACTTGCTGGGGAGAATTCTATGGGCCCAAATTCATTCAGGAAGCCTTAGGTCCATCAATCAGTCCTGGGCCATATGGGCCCATTAATGATGGGCCTATTACTAGCCCTGAAACTCCGCGTCTGTTATCTCCTTCTCACGCCGCAATGTTCAGCTTCTTTCTCGCGCTGTGTTCTACTGGTCAGTGGCCACTTTACAATTCTTCTATTTTTCCCTTTCACTATTCTCAATTGATATAAGTGTTCCTCTTAATTCGAACCTTCAGCAATTTTTACTCTTTTAGATGAATTCATGAGGTTTTTTTGTCATAAAATTTCCCTCTTTTTCAATCTGTTTTCTCTACATCAAGCTTGCGTTTTTTGTTTAGGTTCTGAATATTCAAGTGGTCTTTGAGGATATTTTTTTACTGGGTACCATTATCTCTCCCCCCCCCCCCCCCCCCCCCCCCCCCTTTAACTAAGAACAACATGTCTGTGTTCCTTAAAGCCTTGCCTTTGATGGCTCTCCGTCCTAGACCATCCTCGTTCTTTCTCTGCAGAGTTTCTAACACCATTCCAAGGGCCCTTTCCAGAAGCAGAAGAACTGTCTTTTCTGTTTCTGCTTCAACATCCCCTTCAATAGAACAACCTCCTTCTGTTTCTGAAACACTCACACCCAATGCTAAACCACCTTTATCCCTTAAGGAATCTCTTGAATGGGTTAGCAGGACTGCTTTTTGTGGTGAGTTGTCTATAAACGATGTGGGCAAAAGGGTCCAGCTTTGTGGGTGGGTTGCCCTTCACAGGGTCCATGGTGGCCTCACATTTCTTAATCTCAGAGACCATACTGGCATTGTTCAGGTACTTGTCTCTTCCAAAATTGTTGATTGTTTACTTAACCTCATTCATTTCAATGAAGCAATTTTTGTATTTACTAATTGTGGCTAGGGGTGTGAATATAGGTTTTGACACGTGTGTCGACCTGCGACACGACACAAAAATTTGTGTTCGGGTTGACCCACAAAAAAATTCGTGTCGTGTTCGTTTTGGAAAGAATGACACGTAAAAAATTCGTGTCGTGTTTGTGTTGATGTATTTGTGTTCGTGTCGACCTTTGTTTTTTTTAATCTTTTTATTATTATTTTTTTAATTTTTTTTAATATCGAACCATTTTTTTTAAATTTTTTGTCAATTACCATTTTGACCTCTATTTTGCATGTTATTCGTGTCGTGTCGTGTCAACCAGCAAAAAATTCGTGTCGTGTCAGTGTTGAAGATTTTGACACGAATAAAAATTCGTGTCGTGTCGAATTCGTGTCGTGTCGACCCGTTTTGACACCCCTAAATGCTGCTTTGTAGTTTCTGTTATGCATATGATTGTTATTTGTAGCATTCTTCTTGCGTTTACTACTTTACTATCACTCTAGTTTGTAGTTGTACATGGTGTGTATGCTGATTGAGCTTGAAATTTAGGTTACAACCCTTCCAGACGAATTTCCAGATGCCCATTCTGCTATCAATGATTTGAGACTTGAATATGTAGTTGCCATTGAAGGTATTGTCAGGTCTCGACCAAATGAGTCAGTCAACAAGAAGATGAAAACTGGCTTCATCGAGGTATATATCATTAATGGATGAGAATTTCATTTTGCTATTGGATTGTTAGCAATTTTGTTGTCCTAATTTAATTTAAATTTTCTTTTTTCAATTCTTCTTCCTGTTCCTTGCTTGTTAATCCGTGAAGAAATATGCTTAGTTCTAAACCAATTGGTGTCCGCACACTGAATATCTGTTTCTTGTAGTTTGACATGTTTTATTTAGTTACTGTTTTGTATCTAACTACCAAAATTTTATATGTATATTCGTGTGGCAGGTTGCTGCAAATAGAGTTCAAGTATTAAATTCTGTAAATTCAAAGTTACCATTCTTAGTTACTACAGCAGATGATGCAAAAGATTCTCTAAAAGAGGAAATCCGTTTAAGGTAGTTGCCATCAAGTTGCATGATACTCATATTTGCTTATTTATATTAATGTTTATTGGTTTCTCGTGGAAATGTTTTCATTATGATGTCAAAATCTTTTGTGGAATACATTTTGTTATGAACCCAAAAACAGAGTCTTGAGTTTTCAGAGATTAAGAGCTGAGAAGACAGAGAAGAGAGAAAAAGAAAAAATAAATCTGTATGAATTATCTGTGTCACTAACTTAAGTACAATGGAGAGGATTCTCCTTCTAAGGGTTTCCCCTTTTACTACTGAGCCACGGCTATGTTTCCAAACTAACAAAACAGAATTCCCCTTTTACTAATTTAGCTAATTACCTACTCTTAACAACTCTAACCGTCCAACCACTTCCATAACTATTCTAACTAACTACTCTCTGGGCACTATCACCTTTCACACACATAGACACGCATAAGTATTTTTCAAAATACCTATTCTTATTTGTATTATGTAAGATAATGGGAGATCTATTGCTTATAATTACTTGTTTGTAGGTATCGATGTCTTGATCTACGACGGCAGCAAATGAATTTCAACATATTGCTACGGCATAAAGTGGTTAAACTCATGCGGAGATATCTAGAAGACATACATGGTTTTGTGGAGGTACTATCCCGTGAGGTCATCATTTGAGTTATTTTCTCTATTCAATGAGTAATTGTGTCTCTTGCCCTCCACTGTTAATTTACTTTGGTGGTTGGTATTTGGTATCCTATGTTAATCTTTACCTTTTTTTGGTCATAAGGTAGATTGAAACTCCAATACTGTCAAGATCCACACCAGAAGGTGCCCGGGATTATTTAGTTCCATCAAGAATCCAGGTATTTAAATTTGTTCACTTATTGCATGAGATTGTTATGTAAAGCTTTTGTTACTCAAAATTGTAGCTAAAAGACTATGATCTTAAAATATCCCCAATATATCTCAAATCATTGATTTATATATGATTTTTTTAAATGAATTGGTTTCCTCGTTGTCAGTAATAAGGATTTCCAGTTTAGACAACCTTGCGTTACGTTTGTCTAAAAAATTTTATTAGTATTTTTTTCTGTTTCATGTGCATTCCAATTACAATAGAGTAAAGAAGTCAAAACAACAGACCTTAAAAATATTGGTCCTGTCAATGTACTGTGGAGTAATTTAGATTTAGGTTTTCTAGAACCAGATCAATTCATTGTTCTTCCTATTGTTCAATTAGAAATTATAATGTTTAATTTTAAGAGTTGATGGGATTTATTACCCTAACTCCAAAAGAGATTACGTCAATGGCATTATCATCGTAGAGCTTTTACAGATTTACCTTATGCTCGACCCTTTGATCTAGGGCTGTGCATGGGGCAGGTCGGGGCAGGTTTTTGTGTTGACTCGACTCGACTTGGTTTTATAGGTCAGGTATTTTGACCTGACCGACTTTAATTTAATCCAAGTCAGGTCTGACTTGCTTTGGATTTTTTTAAACTAGTTCTGAACTAGTTCAGATCTGACCTGACTTGGTTTTTAAAATAAGTCTGACTTGGTTTCAAAATTGGGTCAGATCTGACCTGACCCACTTTTGACTTGGTTTCAAAACTTGTTTTTAATTTGATTTTTTTTATAATTATTGATTTAATTTTTAAATTCATGTAATTTAATTATTTATTTGTTTTGAAATATATAAATTATATAATAAATTTGATATTTGTTGAATAAATAAAAGAATGTAATTTTTAAATCCAAATACTATATTTTATCAAAATAATTCAGTTTACGATAATATCCGAAAACTAAAAATTTAAAAAAATTCAGTTTCCTGAGAATCCTGAAAAATATCTCCTACCAAACGGCCCCTGACACAAAATCCTGAAAAATACGATAAAATCTTTGCATTCTGCAAAATATATATTGCAATAGACACAAAATAAAATTAATAATTAAACGTTAAATAGAGATTAAAACACAAATAAAAAATATTCTTAAAAACTTAGCAAACCAGTTCAATGACAAGAATTTGAAGTTTAGAACAATCCTCTAGCAATTCTACAACCTCAAGCCAATACATAAGATAATAGAAATTTTCAAGAATTAAAACACAATGTTTGATACAGGGGTTCATATCCTCCTCATTAAACATATTCATATCTTCAACATCTATCAGATAATCCAGAGCACCATTCCCCTACAAGAGCTGCAATAAGACATGAGAAAAAGTCCACCAGTGCTTTGGCTTAAAAGGAACCTTTCAGCACCAGCCAATGTGATTGTTCCCCATGAAACAACCTGAACAAGACATGTAAAACACAAATCTATCAGCCAATGTGTAGTTTATCATTTAAGTAAATGAAAGAAATAGGTAGATGAAGATGCTTGTTACGAGTGTCTACTCCAACTACATCATTAAACATATGTACATTGATTAGCCATCAACAATTGATGTTTTATGCTGATTTTGCTTACCACTTTGGAGATACATCAATAAAATAATTTCCACTTTGTAAGAGAGAGTGTAGTAGCTTCTTTAGTGACTCAACTATGCCAGCAAAAAATGAACGTTGATCAAGGTCACTACCAGGTAAATCAAAGCATGCATCAGAAATAAAGTGATGCTTAAAAACATAGAAAAGGCAGTAGTTAGCAAAGCAAAATAACACACGAATTATGCTGATTTTGCTGAAATTGGCTATAAGCCTATAACTATAAGTAATCCCCTATGACCTCAATTACCATGTTTTGTTATAATCCATCAATAGCAACAGAGGTTGAACAATCCACATTTTGTTGGGATAGGGAAAGCATCTTCGTCCCTACAAAAGAAAAAAACCATCTAATTAGTTATAAAATCAAAGTATAATAAGTAATAACTATCAATTAATCTTATTACATTACCATGTTCAACTTTTTGAAGCTCCTCCTCTAAGCCATCAGTTGAACGCATTTCGAAGGGAGTTCCTTTCAGCCAATCCTGCGTGCAAATAAGGGACTCCACTGTTTGAGGTGTTAAGCAACTACGATAAGGATCAAGCACCCTTCCTCCAGTACTAAATGCGGACTCAGAGGCTACAGTTGAGACAGGTATAGCCAACACCTCTCTAGCAATATTTGCTATGATTGGGAATCGACTTGACTGTACCTTCCACCAAGTCAAAATATCAAAATTTGGAGAGGGATTCTCCAAAGCTTCCTCTAAATACACGTCCAACTCAGATTTACCATTTGACTTTCTCATTTTTCTTTTCCGAAACAGCACACTGTATATATCATCATCATCATCATCATCATCAAGTTGTGCTCCTTGTGAATTTCTTTGAGACCCTTCTTCTCCATCATTATATGCCACAAAAAGTAAATTCAAAGAAGAATCTAACTTTTTTTTCAAGTTAGCCAGCTCACCACAATCAAAATGTCGATCATCATCACTCAACAAAGTTAAAATATCCATTTTGCACCTCGGATCTAACACAACTGCAATTAATAACAACATATTCCAATCATTCGCATTTCCCCAATACTTATCATACTTCAGCTTCATCTTCTTAGCCATCGAACTTATACTTTCATTATTATGCTCACACATTTGGCGAATCTTTTTTCCAATTTTAAACACCTCTATCATGTATATATTACTCGTAGCATAAGATGTGCCAGAAATACGCAAAGTGACTTCGTAGAAGATCTTCAAAAATGGTAAGATTGTACGAGCATAGTTCCAATCTTCAATTTTAGGCACTCCTTTTCCTCTTTGTAACTCAAAAACATACTTTTTATCCTCCAACTCAAGTAGTTCAAATGCCTTTTGGTGCTTCAATGCCGACTCTAGCATTAAGTATGTTGAATTCCACCTAGTCTCAACATCTAGAGAAACCAAACAATTAGATTCAATCTTTTGCTTTTCAATGCATACCTTGAATTTAGCTAGTCTGGCCGAAGAAGATTTTATATATTTAACTGCAGCTCGAATTCTCAAGATGGAATCATCAACCTCTTTTAATCCATCCTTCACGATCAAGTTTAGAATATGTGCACAACAACGCATGTGCATATAATCGCCATTCAGAATCAAAGTGTCATTTAACCTCAATCCCCTCTTTAGGTATTCAATCCCTGTATCATTTGAGGAAGCATTATCAACTGTTAGGCTAAAAACATGATCCAATCCCCATTCATTTAAGCATGACACAACCATCTTTGCCATGGTTTCTCCTGAATGATTATGAACTTTACAAAAATTCAAGATCTTCTTATGTAATGTCCAATTTTGATCAATGAAATGGGCAGTTAGACACATGTAGGACAAATTCTGACAAGAAGTCCATGTGTCAGTGGTGAGGCAAACTCTTCCACAATGCTTCACAAGAAACTTTTGTAAGTTCGTTCTTTCCATATCCCATAGTAGCAAAATGTCACGTGCTATTGTAGTGCGTGAGGGGACATTAAATTTTGGCTGCAAAGAAAATACAAACTCGCGGAAGGCTTCATGCTCAACAAATCGAAAAGGAAGCTCAGTAGCAATGATCATTTTTACAAGTTGTTTCCTGCAAAACTCTTGATCAAATCTTGCGCACAAAGGAGAAGAACTAACATGTCCTTCAGCAGCTGAGGACGAATCTAATTTCCTTTTCTTTCCAGGTTTATTTGGATTGTCATTGCACCGATTCAAATGATTTTTCAATGAAGTTGTCCCATAACTAGCATTGAGTAAGTTAGCACAATATTTGCATTCAGCTTGCTTGTTTGGATGCATTGTGAAATAGTTCCAAACTTCTGATCTATTTTTGCGAGATGAGACATTTTCATCGTTAGATGCATCAGGTAGAGTAGAAACATGATGCTCTGACGTCTCACTGCCTGGAAAGTCATCATCCATCTGTTGGAAAGCAAAAAAAAATAAAAAATATTCAATGTACAATTGTTTCAAGCATTTCATCAAATAACGTAAGTACAATGCACCTACCAAAAGGTGGCCATTTAACTACATTCACCTAAGATGTTAAATGGTAAAGGTGGCCATCGATTTTTTTTGAGGACTGTAAATGAGGATTACCCAGTTCGGTGAAGTGAATTGAGACTATTCTCGGAGTTTTAAGTTTTCTTAGTTCGTGCTGCCTTCTGCTGGAATTGTTTTGATGTGGTAACAAAAACAGGGATGCCTTTTCTTAATGTGGTTGCTTTGGATGTGAGGGAAAGCAGGATGTTTGAAGCACTTGATAGTCATGGGGAGAAAAATACTAGATATCAATTACTTTGAAGCATAGATAAGCACGTTGTTTGGATTATAAATAGTAAAGGTGGCCATCGATTAATTGTTAATACAATTCACCTACCAAAAATGTAAAACTCAACCATAGCAAAGCCTTTATATGAAATTCTCAAAAAACACAAGTTCCATTCACGAAAGAAATAATATGACCAAAATATTTAAAATAATATTCTCATGCTCTCACTATTTATCAACAATTGTTATAGATTTAAAATAAAATAAAATAAAACTCTACTTGTGGATGTTGATTATATTAATTCAAGCCGAAGCAAGATCACAGTGATGGACGCAACATCTTCCTGCAAGATGAAATCTGTTGAATTAAATTAATAGGCATACTGGATTAATTATGCTCTTGTACTCACAGTGAATCAACCATTGCAGAATGCCACCCCAATTCGTATTTGGCATCATTTAACACCCAAATCACACAAAGCTTGCTCTGAATGGCGTTAAACCCAGTCCCAAAGCTTGCTCTGACCCCTAATCTACGGCCACGAAATCTGCACATCAAGTAAACAACAAAACTCCATTAATGGTGATTTCGTGTTCGAAAACAAAGCCAAAAGGAGAACCTAAATCATTACTCTACCTTGATTTTGCTTGGAGATGGAGACTGAAGACTCAGAGTGAAGTGTGAACGACGAAGAAAGATAGGGAGAACCGGAGAAGAGAGAACCTAATCCCTAATTTGCCTTTAGCGTGATTTTTTGTTTTGTTTTTTTTTTTTTTTATAAAGTGGGTCTGGGTCAAATTGTGGGTAATGACTTAATTATTAAAATAAAGCAGGTCTAAACTTGACCCATATATAAGTAGAGCAATATTTAAAACCAGTTCAAAAAAAGTGGGTATTTATGGGTCAGATCAAGGTCAGATCAAGGGCAGAGCAACTGAACCAGTTTTTTTGCACAGCCCTACTTTGATCTTTTACCTTATACGCCCATAAAGCATCATCGTGGTTTTTGGCAGTGTAAAATCTGATTGCAAAAACAGTAGACATTTCCTGTCTGTATTATGCCACTAAATGATTTATATTTTTATTTGTAATTGTTTATTGCTATATTTTAAAAATTTCTTGTGTTACATATATATATATATATATTTATTTTATTTTTTAATTTTATTCCTTTTTTTGTTTTTTGTTTTTTTCCATAATATTTTCGTACTTTTCATTTGGGTTCATCTATCACCGACCCCAACTAGTTTGGATGAAATTGTTGTTGATGTTGATGTTGGAGTAATATCTTTAATGGGCAGAGTATTGCTGAGAGGAAAAGGCAGTATAAGTCTTTTTTTCTTCTTCTATTTTTTGTGTGAGATACTTATTTTATGTTAAGTTTTGTTGATTCACTATCATATGCTTTATGAAGCCAGGAACATTCTATGCCTTGCCACAAAGTCCCCAGCTATTTAAACAAATGCTAATGGTAGCTGGTTTTGATAAATATTATCAGATAGCAAGGTAAGATTTTCTTTTTACGTTTTGGGTCTCCATTGATGTTTTAAGTGTTCAAGAATAAGATATTTCCTTGTTTCTTGACTTCTGTTTTTGAGAATATGTTATTGTCCCCCTTGTAGTAGCACTTTTCCCTTTTTCTCTTCAAAATTTATCTCCTATAAAAAATGCATTTGGTTTGAGTAACTTGCATACAGCCATAAACTAAGAATATAGAATTTTTGTTTTTGTAAGCTAAACCAAACTTAAAATAAAAACAATTGTGGTGCAAGTGATTTTCCTTTTTGTTTTTTTTGGATAATATGCAAGTTACTTTTTGTCAGATGTTTCCGTGATGAAGATTTAAGAGCTGATAGACAACCTGAGTTCACCCAACTGGATATGGAGATGGCTTTTACTCCTTTAGAGAATATGTTGGCTCTTAATGAAGAACTGATCAGAAAGGTTAGTTTATACAATTGTTTAATCAGACCTTTCTAATAGCTTATGAAAATGCATTTTTCCATCATTTTGAAATTTGGAAGTAATGAAAGCATATCTTTAGCTGAAAATTTGGGGGTAAATATATTTTGTCTATTTTGAAGTTGTTCATCTCCTAGATTGGAATATATGCTCATTACTTGGTGTAAAAAAGAAGTGTTGGTGCAGGTTTTCCTTGAAATTAAAGGTGTGGAGTTACCAGACCCTTTTCCCAGGCTTACATATGCTGAAGCAATGAGTAGATATGGTTCAGACAGGCCAGATACCAGATTTGATCTTGAGTTAAAAGATGTAGAGACCTTTCTTTCACCTCCATGCGAATTCTGCTGTTTCTAGCCATAGTTTGTTACAATTACATGATTTGACAAGCCAATGATTCATATCATGTGATAAATCGGAGATGGCTTTGAATCGTGCGACATATGCATGAATTGGTGCAATTCCATATCATTGATATAAACCTCATGATTCAACAATTCATTATTTTTTTCTTTTTTGCTTTTCTTTCATCCATTCTCAAAAGTAATTTGAAAAAGTTATGTAAACTTAAATTGTCAAATCAAAAGGAACTAAATAAGTGCTACTGAGTGCACCCAATTTGAGTATTCTATTGCTCTTTTTTTATTCTTCTGAAACAGAGGCTTCATATAGTTACTCACTTACTCCATATGCACCTTATTTGGCTATATTGTTGCTCTGTTTTCGTTGTTTTAGAAACATAGGCTTCATTCCGTCACTTTATGTAACTCAGTTTTGACTTGTATGATTTTTTTGAGACTTATGATTAAGTTATTTTGTCTATTCCTAGTTTTAATTATAAATTGAGCATTATGTTTCATTTATATGATTTATTTCAAGTTAGTTTTCATTGTCTTTGAATCTTATGATTTGACACGATTTACGATTAAAAAATTAACTTAGCAATTCAGATTTGTGTCACAATTTAATGACTTCGTTTCTAGCATATGATAATTATATTTGATCTTTTGTGTTGATATTCTCTTTGATTTGGTGTAGCTTGCTGTTGTTGTGTGTTAAAAATCATTGTTATTTTGTGCTTTAGTTTGTTTTTCAATAATTTACCTATATTTGCTTCTTAAGGGATCTTGCTGAAATATAACTTTTCATTGGGCCGCAGGTATCTGACATTTTCTCAGGGTCTTCCTTCAAGGTTTTCTCTGATTCCTTGGAGAGTGGGGGAGTTATTAAAGTGTTATGTGTACCTTCTGGCACAAAAAAGTACTCAAATTCAGCTCTTAAGAAAGGCGATATTTACAATGAAGCACTCAAATCTGGTGCAAAGGGTTTGCCTTTTCTCAAGGTCTTGGATAATGGTAAAGAATGAATTTTCTACAAATATTCATTTTACAATATTGAGAGACACATTTGTTTAATTCCATTGTTTGTGTAAACCTTTGATTTTAGGGGATATTGAGGGAGTTTCTGCATTAGTATCAAGTATGGATCTTACAACTAGAGAAAATTTGTTAAGGCGATGTTCTGCTGGACCAAGTGATCTCATCCTATTTGCAGTTGGTCATCATGCGTCTGTAAATAAAACTCTAGACCGGCTTAGAGTTTTTGTAGCCCATGACCTAAGTTTGATTGACCATGTAAGTTGCTGATTGGCTTTTTAGAGAGAAAGAATTGCTCTCTTTCTTTACCATTTCTTTTTCTAATATTATTTGGTTATTTTTGTTTGAGTTTTAGGGCAGGCATTCAATTTTGTGGATCACTGATTTTCCAATGTTCGAGTGGAATGATTCAGAGCAGAGGCTTGAGGTCCGTCATGCTTTTAATAAAATGTCTAGTTTTGTAATTTTGTGATTGTTTATCATTACAGTTATCTTCACTGTTCCTCTATCTTTTTCTTTGAATTTACGTCATGTGAATTGGCAAATTTCCTTTCTTGAAGGCCTGAATATTATTCAATTCATCTGTTTGGGATGGCTCCAGGGTAGAGCTTGAGATTTTGATCATGGGTGAATAGGATATCCTTGGTAATATTTGGGGTATAATAAATCATATTGATGTATCCTAGGAAATGTCGGGGGTATGATAAATCATATTCTGGTTATCTTTGTTATTATTCTTGTCATTATTTCTTTAAATTATGGCATAGTGCAGGCTCTTCATCATCCTTTCACTGCACCAAATCCTGAAGACATGAATGAGCTTGCATCTGCTCGTGCATTGGCTTATGACATGGTTTACAATGGGGTGGAGGTAATTGAGATTTGTTTCTGATTACTTACCTCTCTCTGTAGCTGTGCGCTTGATGATTTTACTGCTGATGTCTGTTAATAACTCATAATATTACATTGTGCCTATTTTCTGTCAGATTGGTGGGGGAAGTCTGAGAATTTATAAACGTGACATACAGCAAAAGGTTTTGGAGATTGTTGGCATCTCAATGGAGCAGGTTAGTGGACCAATCATCTGAAACATTAACTATGATTCCATTCCTATGCTTATTTACCCTTTTCATTTATTTTCTATCTTTTCATGTTTATAAAATGTGTAGAAAAAGGATTTGTGAATTGCTTGAGAAAATCTTCAGCAGAACCTTCTATTTATGCATGATTTACAATCTCTAATATTAGGAAAGCAAGGAAACTAGAAAATTAAGGAAAATCATACAAATCAAATACTAATTATTTGCAGAATATACAGTCCCTAAACAGGAGATACGAGAAATATTTCCCTAAATAGCAAATACTTTGCAACAAATTGTTTCAATGTTGGGGCTTCAATGGCCTAAATTATGTATAATAATTTATTTCAGGCTGAAGCGAAGTTTGGTTATCTTCTCGAAGCGCTTGACATGGGGGCTCCACCACATGGTATGCAGCTTTTTACATCTTCTAAAATAGTTTATAGCGCTAACCATCCCTTTCCTGTGGAGAAACTTTAACGTATCTGGCTAGAGTAGCATTGGTCTGTTGCACAAACATCTGTGAAAAGGCAATTTTCCTTATTTTATTAATTTAGTTTTTTGAAGTAATGGTTATCAGTAGCAGGGAGGTAACTTCATTTTAGACAGAAGTTTTTGCTTTTCATTGCTTTCATTGTTCTGTTTGAGGAATAGGTTGAATGTGAAGATCGACCCGAGTGAACCAAATTTGCATGGATTGATTGTTCTTGAAACACAACCATGTTAGTTGATTTTCAGTTAAGGATGGGCAGAGCTGCAAGCAATTGAAAAAAAGGGGCTTCATATTATTTTTATTGTCTCAGTTAAGGCGTGCCTTAAGATTATAGATTGTTTACGGAAAATAATGGTTAAATTAAACAATCTTGTGAAGAAATAGTGCAGGATTTGAAAAAAGAAAATTGGGTTTTCAGTTGTTATCCAGCGGCTCATAGAGAAAGTTGTTAGGAGTGTGAAGAATCTTTTTGTGTATGTATCATCATTAGTCAATTATAGTGTCTCAACTTATGGTTCCACTTGCATGAGTATAGTTTTACGTATTGGATGGTAGTTCACGTTTGTTTAGTAATTTTATCCAGTTGCAATTTGATCACTGTATGATTTTTTGAAGCATTAGGGGCACCGATTGTTTCTCAGTAAAGATGAATCGTTGTAGACTTGATTGATAATTCTTGTATATGAAATGTAGGAGGCATAGCTTATGGGTTGGACAGATTGGTTATGTTGTTGGCGGGCTCTAATTCCATCAGGGATGTCATTGCTTTCCCAAAAACAACTACTGCTCAGTGTGCCCTCACTAGGTCACCTTCTGAGGTGGATCCCCAGCAGCTCAAAGATCTATCAATTTCAACATGCAACTCTGCATAGTGTTATCTATTGCTTCACAACCATTTTTGTATTATGCTATAAGGAATAATTTATGTATATCAATGAAGAGGAGTTTTAATTAATTCTTTTTTAAAGGGGGGGATACCAGTTATGATTGTACCATTGGACGTAATAAAATTAATTCTTTGCTCATGTTGTTAATCACATTTTTCGAGCCAAATAAAATTATAAAGATTGATTATGTGAAGTGCAATTGGATGTGATTACAATTTTCTTCTGCTATTATTTTCACCGGGACTCGTGTCTCTCTGCGCTATGATTACTTGGGCTAATATTCAATCAAGTAAAGTGGGCCTTTTCCTGAGTCTTTTAGATCCAATTCTTCAACCTGGGTCATTAGGAAAATGGGCTTTCTCTTGGGCCGCGGAAATTTGTCAAAGGAAAATCACGAATGGTTTCCATATCCATTGCTTTTAGGGACAGTGAGTTCAAATTGTCAAAGGAAGAAGGATGGATAGGAGTGTCACGTGTAGTTTCAATAAGATGTAAAATAGCATCAATTTTCATCTTTAGTTAGTTATACTGAATACGTATAAAGTTGACTAAATTTTTTTCCACTGGCAGTACTTTGAGATTGCCCGTTATTTTTCCCTTTCTGTATTGTGCTAAAGCAAATCCTATATGAAATCAAATTCAAAAGAGATAAGTACAATAAAAGGAGCGGAAATTGAATTTAGATTCTCTTGAAGTAATTAATGAGAGGTTTGATAGAAGAATTTTGAGGCTCAAGATGTAATAAGGAGCGGAAATATATGATCAGGCACTAGGTAGATGGTATAGAGGACTTGTTCATTTTCGATCCTCTATTAAATTTGACTAAGGCCAGCATATACGGACCATAAAATTGCTATTCAACTCCATCTGCTTCAGGGATATTGAAGCATATGTAATGTATGGCCTATATATAAAGTGCCGTATCCCCTGATAAATAAGTAAGTGATTGATTCTAGAGAGTAGCATTTTCTCGGGAGGGTGGAGAAGCTCAAATTCAAAACCGAATTAATTGGGTTTATTAGGACTTCTTACACCAATTGCTTTTTTAAAAAAACAAAGAGGAAGAAAACTGAATCATAAGTTTCAAAACACACTACACAAGTTATGCTAAAACTATAGAGAAGAGAGAGCCGACATCAACAAATAACGGGTTATGCGACCACGGATTATAACAATATGATAATTTAGAAAATAAAGTCAATTCAGGGATTTTGTTAGCAAGTCATAATCATGCTTTGCGTCTTCATTTGAACCTTGTATTGTCACTTTCCTTGATAAATAATTACAGAGATTATTGCTTAGTGTAATTAAGAACTTTTGCTTACTCAAGGACAACGACAATTATTTGATCTGATGGGCTTCATAAGCAAAAATTTGTCAAAATAATGTAACATATAACATTGAATGGTTGATAATGTATAAGAAAATTTGGTCCAATTTAATTTATGAAAGTACAGACTTATATTGTTGGCTACTTTTCACATATGTGTAAGGTTTGCTCTAACTTCTTACCGATTGTTTAATTGAGCTGAGGTTACTCCTAAACTAAGTTCAGCACAATAATATCTGGAAAAAATAAATTCTAATCTCATGTATAGATATATCAAGTGTGAGATCCACCTATTCAAAAAAAAAAAAATGACACACTTTTTATGGTGTGTGTAAGAATGATTTATTTTCTCATGCAACATGAGAAAAACAAACCCCATAATATATACAAGAAAGATAAGATGTAAAATAGCATCAAGTTTCATCTTTAGTTAGTTATACTGAATACGTATAAAGTTGACTAATTTTTTTTTCCACTGGCAGTACTTTGAGATTGCCCGTTATTTTTCCCTCTGTATTGTGCTAAAGCAAATCCTATATGAAATCAAATTCAAAAGAGATAAGTACAATAAAAAGGAGCGGAAATTGAATTTAGATTCTCTTGAAGTAATTAATGAGAGGTTTGAGAGAAGAATTTTGAGGCTCAAGATGTAATAAGGAGCGGAAATACATGATCAGGCACTAGGTAGATGGTATAGATGACCTGTTCATTTTCGATCCTCTATTAAATTTGACTAAGGCCAGCATATACAGACCATAAACAACTCCATCTGCTTCAGGGATATTGAAGCATGTGTATGGCCTATATATAAAGTGCCGTATCCCTGATAAAGAAGTGATTGATATTCAAAAAAAAGAAGTAAGTGATTGATTCTAGAGACTAGCAATTTCTCGGGAAGGTGGAGAGGCTCAAATTCAAAACCGAATTAATCGGGTTTATTAGGACTTCTTACACCAATTACTTTTTTAAAAAAAGAAAGAAGAAGAAAACTGAATCATAAGTTTCAAAACACACTACACAAGTTATGCTAAAAGTGTAGAGAAGAGAGAGCCGACATCAACAAATAAAGGGTTATGCGAGCATGGATTACGGTTCGAAGGCTATCATTCCTCATTGGAACAACGAATGTATTGAGCTTCGCTACCGAAGGAATGATGAAACTAATCCCCCCTTCGAGCACAGAAGCACGTCCTCTGGCCCTTAAAGATTTTCCAAGAATTTGTTTGAGACAATGTTTGAACTCCTGACCCAAGCAAATCATTGAAAGCTCAGCTGCCAACTTTGGGGTTTTGTAATTAAGAACTTTTGCTTACTCAAAGACAACGACAATTTTTTGATCTGATGGGCTTCATAAGCAAAAATTTGTCAAAATAATGTAACATAACATTGAATGGTTGATAATGTATAAGAAAATTTGGTCCAATTTAATTTATGACAGTACAGACTTATATTGTTGGCTACTTTTCACGTATGTGTAAGGTTTGCTCTAACTTCTTACCGATTGTTTAATTGAGCTGAGGTTACTCCTAAACTAATATATGGAAAAAATAAATTTTATGTTGTAGAAAAATTTTAATCTCATGTCATAGATACATTAAGTATGAGACCCATCTATTTAAAAAAGAAAAGAAAAGTGATACACTTTTTTATGGTGTGTGTAAGAATGATTTGTTTTCTCATGCAACATAAAAAAAACAAACCCCATAATATATACAAGAAAGAAAAATTAAAACCTTATCTGATGCACTCACCCAAAAAAAAAGGGAAATACTTTTCTTATATTATAAAAAAATAATTACCTCATGTTGTAGAAATAAAATTATAATTAGGACCCACAGGTAAGAGGAGAGAAAAAAAAAAGAGTGGTGGGACCCACCCCTCTTTTGTGTGTGTAGAAAAATTATTTCTCTTATATAAAATGAGATAAATATAACAAAAAAAATAATGAAGCTTACCCGATGTAGAAGAACATCAGCATAAGTCCTAATAAATAGATGTAATGCAAGGTTTCCATTCCTCCAGTTGTTCGGAAGATGTCATGCCCAAATGGTCTCTGAAATCTGTTAAAAAACCACTTCAACCCAAAGTCTTAAGGTGTTAGGTGAGGATTTTTTCAATGATTTATATTATTCTCTAACACACCCTCTCACGCAAGAGCTCCTTTGGGCTAGAAGCGTGAATATTGCACAGGTCCAATTTTTGGTTTACCTTTTGTGTTTTTTTATTTTATTTTGAATTCCACTTTAAAGTGGGGGCAGTGAGGGTCGAACTTGTGACCTTGTAGTCACTCAAGCTCTGATACCATATTAAAGAACCACTTCAACCCAAAACCTTAAGGTGTTGGGTGAGGACATTTTTAATGATTTATATTATTCTCTAACAAAATCTGATAGGTATTTAATTTTAATTAATTAGATCCCATTAAAACAAATTGTTCATTGCATCATAGTACTTATGATACATTGACCAGCCTGCTAATAATTTTTTAAAGCGATGCCCTTAATTTACTAATTTACAAGATAGTTTGCCGAGATGTTGAGTAGTATGGCGAGATGGTGATTTGCACTTTGTGTATCTGGGTAGTTTCGAGGGGACTGGAGCAGTACCTGCAAGATACTCCGACCCTCAAGTCAGTTCAATATTCGATATGGTTCAAGTATAAGAGATACCATATCTGGGCTTAATGCCTCTATATTTATAGTGTTTGTTCGCCTTGTTTCTTGATACCGCCTTTCATAGGGCGATGTTCATGTTCATTAGTAGAGAATGATGGCTTTGTACAGGCTATTCTTTGCAGGCTACCTCTAGTAGATGCAGTGACAAGCTGGTGCTGTCATTTATTCATTGGGTTCATATGGAAGTCATGTTGTTTGAGCTGCTGATCTCGCTATGTTGATACCTTAATAGCTAAGTCATTCTTGGCTGTGCTGGCCAACTGGACGCGGAAGTGGTTCTTTCATGGTTAAGTCTATAGTTCATTGGGCTATATTAGATTGGGCCTCCATCTCGCATATGTGAGATCCAGATCAATAATGTAGTTTGAAAATAATAAATAGAAGCTTGTTTTAAATTATTATTATGTATAAAATAATAAAATGTATTATATATATATATATATATATATATATATATATATATATATATATATATATATATATATATATATATATATATATGGGGAGGGATCATTTGACTCAAGAGTAAGACTTAAAAATCTTACTCTTCATCGCAGCCGTTGATTTCCGTTCATCTAACGCTTATAATTAATTGTTATAATTTATTAAATGATAACCATTAGATAAACGAAAATCAACGGCTGCGATGAGGAGTAAGACTTTTAAATCTTACTCTAGAGTCAAAATAACCCTCCCCTATATATATAGGATCAACTTACAACGCTGTAAGAATAATAAGTTTTACACCAAATCTTTATCGTTGATTTCCATGTATCTAACAGTTGAAATTTATTGAAATTAATAATTAATTAATGAGTGAGATGCAAAAAATCTTAACAGTTAGATACACGTAAATCAACAATTAAGATCTTGTATAAGATTTATTATTCGATGTAATAAAAATTCACATAAGGATCATTGAATCACTTGTGCAGTTTAAGTAGAAAAATCATATGTAGTGTTTTTGAATATTTAAGGGGTGCAGTGTTTCATGTTGGAGCCTAGAGACTGTAAATCATATAATTTTAAAACTACTGCATTATAATTGATTTAAACAAATTGTACAAATAAAATATGTCGGCAAGAAGTACAAGTTTGCTACTTTGGTTCACAACTTTTCATTCTGTCTTTGCCTTGGTGGTTGGAGAAGTCTTTGCCTTAATGAAAGAGGTTATGACAAAGACTATCACTATATTATCATTTTTATTATTATGAACTAATTTTAGATAAACTAATTAATGAATGACGTATGAGCAAAACAAAAACAAAAACAGAAATATATCCATATACTAATTTTAGGATTGATGAATATCAAGAAATTGAGGCCAATGGCTTGACACGTGTGCATCACATATTTTAGATACTTTTAAAAAGGAAGATAAGAACGAGACCCTTGGGGGCCACGTGGCGTAACATAAGTGTACAATATATCTATACATAAACAAGTAGACGACTCACCAACAACCATATCTGTGTGTGATTGCCTGTTTTGGAAAGCATGGAGTTGTTTGTGACGTTCACCTAATCTTACAGGTTCATGTTCTGATTTAGATGAAAAAGCAAAATGCTATCATAATCAAAACCCCAAAGCTTCACGAGTCATTTCGTGTGTTAGGAACCATATGGTTGTGCCACAAATTAAAAGGAAGCTTCTTCTTCCGTAGCTAATTAAACACTGCATGATAACTTGGTGCGTCTCTATTTATTTTTTTATTGGGTAGAATAATGGTTATCTCTATTTCATTATGAACACTTAAATAAATCGCTTTCCTTAGTTTTATTTATTTATTTGCAAAAAGAATATAATATATATATATTTCCTTAGTTTTATTTATTTATTTGCAAAAAGAATATAATATATATATATATATATATATATATATATATATATATATATATATATATATATATATATATTCTTTTTGCAAATAAATAAATAAAACTAAGGAAAGCGATTTATTTAAGTGTTCATAATGGATAGATCTAAATTATCTGTTATTTATCTGAGCTTTATGTTAACATTTTAACATGTGTTAGAAGCATGTATGATTGTAGGATGAGAAATGAAAGTCTTGAGAACTTGTTCAGCTGTTGCAGTAAGTCCCATATGAAGGGCAATAAGTCAAAATTGTCGATGTTGAACAAGGGATCAAGAAGATCTCTGACAATCTGTTGTTTATTTACGTTAAAGTCTTAATCTAATGCTCAGTTGATAAAAGTTAATTTACATCTATCTCTGTATTACTATGGATCCAAATGATGGTGAAGATATCTGGGAAATACGTCTGTTTTATTATCATGTTTAAATCTTTCTCTTCTAAGTTTTCTTTCAAATCATCTCAACCATCTTCTTCTTCCATCCATAAAGATCAAGTTAAAAATCAAACAAAAAATATTTTTAAAGAAGAAATCTCCTTTGAAGATATCAATCAAGATCTGGATAACTGGGAAATTTTCAGAATTCCAACTAATGAATTGTACAAACCCGAAGGAAACTTCTTTCGAAAATCTGACTATATCATCAGAACAGTTGAAAGAAATATCCCTTTAAATAATGAATTTGAAGAATTTCAACTCCTTTCAAAATCATGACTAATGATCTGGATATATATATATATAGGGAAAATGACTTCTCATGTTGCATGAGAAGTTTTCTCTCTTACCACTCTCACTTTGATATCTGTAACAATCACTTTTTTATTTTTTTCTTTAAGGTTGGCTCACCTTTTTCTCTTTCGGTAGGAAAATTTGAATTTCTCATACAATATAAAAAATTGCAAGCGCATATATATATATATATATATATATATATATATATATATATATATATATATATATATATATATATATATATATATATATATATATAAGTGGAAGAAGTTATACGATCAAAATCAAGGAGTGGGAGCCAATGGTGAGCGAATGCAATATGCCATTATGTTATCGTTGTTAGGTATAATCTAAGGGCTTTAAGTGTTTTATGTTATCGGAGACACTTCAATTTTCCTGCAGGGGCCCATGAGATTTTTTTATTTTTATTTTAAAAAAAATATTGCACAAATTTTTGTGTGAATGTGACAGGAGAGTAGTTGCTTCCAGCAACATAAGAAAATATTCTCCCATAAGCTAATTAATGTCATATAATAATATGAAATAGAAAGAACCATGCATGGACCATTGTGTTTTATTCTATCCACACTATTAGAAATATTCATATTTTCGACAGAATTTTTTTATTATAAACGATAAAAAGTCTGTCGAAAAATCATTTTTTGATAGAATTTTTGACGAAATTTTTTCAGTTGAAATACACTTTGTCGAAAGGCAATAAATGTCTTTTTCCGTCAAAAGCTTACTTTCTTGTCGACAAATAAAGCCATAATATAATATTTATTTAATAAATTTTGTCAAAATTTTTGATAGAAAATAGTACTTTAATTAGTCGAAAAATCCCGCTTTAGTTTGCAATAGAATTTAACTACAATTCCGTCGAAAATTTTGACAAAATTTGTTTCCGTCAAAATTTTCAACGGAAAATATTTTTGTCAAAAAGTTCTGTCATATTTTGCAGTGAAATTTGACTAGATTTTTGTAAAAAATTTCAACAGAAAATATTTCTGCCGAAAAGTTCCGTCACAGTTTGCAACGAAATTTAACTATAATTCCGTCAAAAATTTCAACAAAATGTAATTCCATCAAAAATTTCCACCGAAAATAATTCTGTTGAAAAGTTGTTCAGCATTTGCAACATAATTTATCTATAATTCAGTCAAAGATTTTGACGAAAAATAGTTTTGTTGAAATTTTTTTCTCAATTAATTTGCAATGAAGTTTATTTATAATTTCGTTGAAAATTTTAATGAAAAATAAGTCCGTAAAAAATTCTTCACAATTTGCAATGGAATATGTATAAAATTCCGTTACTTCCACTTTTCGAAATCTTACGCCGCAGAAATTCTAGAATAAATAAGAAAAGAAAAGAAAAATTACATGGCAGAAAAATAGTTAAGACACACTAAGTTGCATAGACTAGCTAGTGGCTTAGCTGGGTGTTTCAAATAAATCAAATTTAGAAAACCATAGCGTTTTTATTTCAAATACATATAAAACCCTGAAGATTCTTCTTTCTATCTTTATTAAGTTAATTTGAGGAATATGGAAAAAAGAAGTATCCTTTTGAATGACAGAAGCTTATGTCATTTTAGGTGTTTTACATAAAGTACGACTGGTCGTATTTTGTGTAAAACTGAAAAGTTACTTTTTTTTCTCTCTTCCCAGTCACATCACTGACGTGTAGAGTGAAAAAAAAGTAACTTTTCAGAATTACACAGAGTACGACCGATCGTACTCTGTGTAAATCTAAAAAGACACAAGTTGTATCCTTTTGAATGACACACACTAAACCCGACGAATATTTAATGCTAATATTTTTCACGTAAATGTCATGCATGCCCCTCAACTAACATGGCCAAGAACTTTAGGAAATGTAAAACCCTAACGTGACATCTTGTGCTTCAACACCCACAAATATGTATACCTGCATGGCCTGCAAAAGCCAAGTTCTAGACTATATATAATACCATTCTCTTGTACTTGTTATTCACAAGCATTCCTAAGAGAATCCTTTCCATATAGTAGAAAAACATTTTAATCATTTCATTTTCCACATGGACAAACTCTTATTCAACTGTTACATTGGATATTTTCTTCTTTGTTCTCTCTTGGTTGTGCATGGCAAAGAATTATCATGCAATCAAACCCCGTACCCGCAAGTGTGCAAGCATTACATTGACATTACCAACACATTATCAACCCTAGATGCTTCATCTTCTTCCTTCCATGATATGGCCCTTAAGGTCACCATGGTCCAAGCCATTGAAGCTCACAAACTTGTCTCAATCATGGAATTGAATAATTTCAAGGACAAGCGAGCAAAGTCAGCATGGGAAGATTGTTTGGAGCTCTATGAGGACACAATTCATCATCTCAACCACTCAATGAGGTCAAACAATCTAAATGACAAGCTAACTTGGCAAAGTACATCCATTGCAAACCATCAAACATGCCAAAATGGTTTCATTGAATTCAACCTTCCCTCTCACCTAAACTACTTCCCATCCATGTTAAGCAACTTCTCCAAATTGCTTAGCAATTCCTTGTCCATTAGCAAAGCTGTGGCTTTGTCATCATCATCATTGTCATCAACCAAACAAATTGGTGGGAGAAAGTTGCTTTCGGATGGCTTCCCCCATTGGTTGTCAGCTTCAGATAGAAGGCTTCTTCAGGCAACGGAGGGAACACCAAAAGCTGATATTGTGGTGGCACAGGATGGAACTGGGAACTATAAGACCATATCTGAGGGTGTGGCTGTAGCTGCTAAACTCAAAGGGAAAGGACGAGTTGTTTTGCATGTCAAAGCAGGAGTTTACCGAGAAAGTGTTGATATCAAGAAGATAGTGAAGAACTTAATGATCATTGGAGATGGGATTGATGCCACAATTGTTACTGGTAACCATAACGCACAAGATGGCTCCACTACTTTTCGTTCAGCTACTTTTGGTAAGTTCATCGATCATTAACTAACTCATGTATTATTCATATAAATCATGTGTAAATATATTATAATTGTTCATATATCTACATGGGAGAAGCTGATTTCCTCAATGGAATAGAAATACATACATACATATATTACACTTTTAAAGCTGATCACTATATATATTATCACTTGGCTCCATTGAGACAAGGACAGGCAGTACTTATTTCTGCACAAACATATTGTTATCCATGATCATAAAAAGAATAGACTTGTAACATCATAAATTCTTGTCATACTCCAATTAAAAATTTTAAAATATTAAATTAAAAAATAAAAAATATATAAACTTTTCATATTTTTCAAACAACAAAAAATTACCAAAAACACTGGAATCAACAATGATAAATACTCAGCATATAATGTTTTTCTTCCACAAGTATCTTCGGGGGACATAGAAATTATAAGAATATATAGAGATAATTAATTTCTTTTTATTTCTTTGTGCATGTATAATTTTTTTACTGAAATTTTTACCAACTCACGTAATTAATTAAAAAAACTCTTTATTATTTGTAAAGAACCAATTCAACCCAAAAGCTTAAGCTATTGCGTGAAGCTACATTAATGATTTTATATATCTCAACAATTTGTTGCAGCTGTTTCTGGTGAGGGTTTCATCGCCAAGGACATAACTTTTGAGAACACAGCAGGACCACAGAAGCACCAAGCGGTGGCTCTCCGGTCCGGCGCCGATCACTCAGTGTTCTACCGCTGCAGCTTCAAGGGCTACCAAGACACGTTATATGTTTACTCCCAACGCCAATTCTACCGTGAATGTGACATATATGGAACCATAGACTTCATTTTCGGTGATGCCGTCACAGTCCTTCAAAACTGCAACATCTACGTGAGAAAACCAATGAGTAACCAGCAGAACACGGTCACAGCACAAGGAAGAACCGATCCTAATGAGAACACAGGAATTATCATCCATAATTGTCATATTACTTCATCTGGGGACTTGAAACCTGTTCAAAGCTCTTTCAGAACCTTTCTAGGTCGTCCATGGCAAAAGTACTCGAGAACAGTGGTCATGAAGAGTAACTTAGATGGGTTGATTAACCCTGCAGGTTGGTCACCGTGGAATGGAAACTTTGCTTTGAGCACTCTCTATTATGGTGAGTATATGAATACAGGACCTGGTGCTAACACAGAAAGGAGGGTAAAATTATGGCCAGGGTTTCGAGTAATCACAGATCCTACTGAGGCTGTGAAATTCTCCGTTGGAAATTTCTTAGCTGGAGACTCGTGGATTCCTGGTAGTGGCGTGCCGTTTGATGTAGGTTTGTGAATACTGATAAAAAAAAAGTTATGGAGGTTGGAGTGGGAAGTAATGTGGGATATAGGACTTGGTCGTTTCAAAAATGGGATAGTGACTCTTTATAAAGATATAGGGAAATTGCAGTCATGTAGATTGTGTTGGGTTTTCCCTTTTACAGAGGGTACAGAATATGTTGTACTTTTATGTGTTACATACTTCCATTATCGATCTCTAGGGACAGTCTGTTCATTTTGTCAAAGGAGGTATAGTTTCAATAGACCTGTAAAATAATATATAGTATCAACTTTCCTCTTTGATTGGTTAATTGCTTACGTATAAATTTGACTAATATAAAGTCTTTTTACCTGCACAACTTTGAGTAGGGGTGACAAGTCAAGAATTCACAAAAATGAATATATTCAACACGTGAATACGATACAAATAAAAATTCGAGTCAAAACCTTATACATGAACACAACCTACGTACCAACATGTCTGTGGGTCCTAATGCAGGAATCACAACAAATCCTGCTAATTGATGTGAAAGAAAATAACATATATACAATCTCAAAGATAAGGATGATAGCTTTTGACATGACCCACTAACACAATATTATAAATTCATATTCAGGTCGACTAATTTTTGAATTCATGTCGCGTTTAAGTTGTCAAGAATTACACTAAAAATTCTTTATTATATGTCAACCTGCAAATATAACACTGACTTGTGTTAATATTCTAATTTGTGTCATGTTATATCACCGTCATATTAGTGAAAGTAATAAACAATACATAAATTATTCACATCGTACCCAATCAACCCCGCATCATAAGGAGCACACTTTGAATTTGACAATTTATTTGTATCGTGTCAGTCCACAAAATAAGCAAGTCAACACAAAAGAAATAAATATATGAAAATGACATGCCACAAAAAACTATGCTTTTATTTTCAAATACGAATAAAATTGATATGAGGTTTGATAGAAGAATTTTGAGGTTCCAATTAAATGAAATAGTGCATTTGATGATATGTATGGTTCCAACTCCTTCAAATCAATGTAAGATATTGGAAAATAAATTAAAGTTGGAACCACTTATCCAAAATCTTAGAGAGTGTAAATTTTCACAAATTAACTCTTGGAATTTTATGATCGGGTTCTTTTAAATAAATATAGAGATTATTTTTCTCAAATTATATGAGAAATCCTCTCGTATATACACAAAATGCAAGGTGAGTTCCACTAAATAGAGGAGAGAAAAGAAATACAAAATGGGATACTTTATGTGTGCATGAGAGGATTTAACTCTCATGTAACATGAAAAAAATAATATCCATAAATATAATAACTTGTTAACGTCTCTGACACAAAACATGCAAGAAACTTAAGCTCATCACATGGAATATAATTAATAACTGGTTCTTTTTTTCTATTTGCCGAAAGACATTTTAATTTAGTTGCATGTAATAATGATTATATTCATATAAGCACCTCACATGGTTTGGTTAAACACATGTATATATATAGTATGACATTTCATTTTCTAGTTGAGATTGAGAACACGATGATTGATTAATTTTTCCATGAGGAAACTGGCTCACATGGTTTGGTTACACAATTAAATTGTTTCCTTGTTGATGTTAACATTCTAATTGTGATTTGTGATAGTGCTGACCATATCTGATTAGTTTTGATCTAAACACACAGCTCATGCTAAGTCAAGTCTCCTTCTGCACTTTTCCCGTTCAGCGCTGCCAGCAGCAACTTGCATCTCTTTTTCTGATAATAATTAATACGACAATTATGGAAAAGCAAAGGAAAATGAAGGCAGGTTATATATATAGGATGGTTTTGTTTACAAACTTTTTGTTTACAAACTCTTACAAACTACACTATGTTTTTCCGGAAAAACACTAGATTATACTGTATTCTCCCAGGAGTATATAGGATAATTTATAAAAATTTGTAAATTTTTTTTTGTAATAAACAGATCCTTCCTTTTATATATATATATATATATATATATATATATATATATAAAAGATGTTTAGCACTTGGAACTTGGAAGCATTGCAATAGCAAACACCTGGCCCACCCTTTCTCTCATTTATACTATCTGTCTTTTGGTCGTCGACTCGTCGCTCTTGCTATCATAAACTATTTCAATAAAACAAACCCATTTAATATAATGTTGAACCAAACCCAGAAAAAATAAAAGGAAGAAAAACAAGACCATTTAAAATAAAAGTCGTCATTTAATATTAATAAGAGTAAACACCCTTTTTAGTCCCTGGTAATATCTACGAAGTCCTTTTCAGGTCCCTGGCAATAAAAAAGGACCAAATTGGTCCCTGAAAGTACAAGAAAAGGGCCACTCTACATATTTAGGAGTTGACATAAGGACTAACATGACCCTTTTTTTGTAATTTCAGGGACCAATTTGATCCTTTTTTATTGCCAGGGATTAAAAATGACTTCATAGATATTGACAGGGACTAAAAAAAGTGTTTACTCTATTAATAAATTTGTAAAATATTTGTTAATGTTTATTTTCTTTTTTTTGGTAATAATGTTTATTTTCTTTTTTATTAATTCCTGACTGATGTATGGATGAAACCATATCAATCAATCAAACCATATCAATCAAACCAAGAGGGCATGATGATCAAGCAATGAGTGATGCGTGCATTTTCCTATGCATATACACTGGCAAACAATTGAAACAACGTCAGAAGCAGTGACGTGGTTATTTTTTGGTTGAAAAGTCACCATTTATCAAATGTTTTACAGTTTGTAATTAATTAAGCAGTGAATTCAATTTGTAGAAATAGAATTATATATGTTCATATTAATATCCGATATAATACCAATATTATATGATTTGCATGTATTTGTTATGTGAAGTAGATGTAAGAATAGTATAAAAATATAAGTTTATTGTTTTTCACATTGTAGGAGATACATTTATTTTCTACACACACATAAAAGTATATGAACTCATATTTTCTCTTTCTCACTGTTTTCCTCATATTTCACATTAACCTTATACACTTTTATGTGTGTGTTAGAGATAAAATTTATCTTATACAATATAAGAAATATTAAATTCTAAAAATATATATAAGATGAGCAGGTTATATATATTCACTACTAGAAAAAACTCGTATAGTGACGGAATTTCTATAACAATTCCGTCACTATACAAGTTTTTTCTAGTAGTGATTTACAAAAATTTTATTTATAAACTATACTATGTATTACGGATAATACATATATTTGAACATATACTACCTATAATATATAATATAATTGTAAAATTTTATAAAAAATTTTATAAATATAACACCCATATGATATAAGATATCTGTGAGGCATGCATGAAATTGTTTTTTCCTCTAACTTTGCAGCTAAAGATGATTTGACACTGCGACATATAGAATTTTGTAAATTTAGACTTTTCTAGCTGTGCACGGGGGCATCCAAGTTGCTTGGTTGGGCCAAAATGTCTACCAACTGAACAGAAGTTGAAAAGCTTCATGTGTCATTTGTCTTATTTCCCTCGTAATAGTAGAATTGTTCCACTAGTTTACACATTGTAAATTGACAGGTGTTTCAATAGATCGCCTAAAAACCTATTTGATATTACCAATAATTTTTTTAAGTGCCGGAGCATTTTACTACAAATCTAAGAACAAATTATATACACAAACAAGTGGATAAAATAGAATATTCGATTACTGACCCAAACATATATTTTGGAAAAAAATATAAACATATTATTATTTAAATAAAAAATTATAAAAATATAGTATTTTAGAACCAACTTATGGATCTATTACACTCAATCCGTCTAAATAAGGCGAGATCACTCATGTCCAAAATGGGCGGGACCCCCGCAAGAATTTGCAAATAAGGCGAGACCAGTCTTGCCTAATTTGGGCGAAACCTAACATCATTCACGTACATGGGACATAAAAGTTAATAATTTATATAAAAAAAAAGTCAATAATTTAACCACAAAACAAAAGGAAAACCATTGTCGACACAAGGTTGAATTGGCATAAGAAAAATGACAAAATATAAACATTTTACGTGGCATGCATGCTAAAACGTTAAGTACAATTCGTAAGAAATGCATATAATCTAGAAACAAGGTCAAATAGAGCAACAACCATTAAGAAATCAATGACAGATAAAGGATATTTCCTCTCAAATTTTATGAGCAACAACATCATGTTATGTTATAGACTCATCAAATTTTGTGCATTGTTTTTTTTTTTAAAAGGTAGATCCCACCGTTTGCTATCTCTGTAGGAAATAGAGAACGCAAGAGAAGTTATAACTCTATATATATATATATATATATATATATATATATATATATATATATATCATGATTATTTTATATCGGTATAAGGCTTATAGCCTTACACCGCATCTCAACCGTTGATTTTCGTGCATCCAATGATTATAATTTAGGAAGTCATACGAATTAATTAATATTAACTAATTATTAATTACACTACAAATGACAACCGATGATTTACATCCATCAACAGTTGAGATACGACGTAAGATTTATTAGGCTTACATCGATGTAAAAAGATCCTACCCTTTTATATATATATATATATATATATATATGAGGTAGGATATATCCTTTGACACCGGTGTCAAATTTGAAGTTTGACACCTCATCTAAGAGCCGTTAGATAAAAAAAGATCAATGGTGTCACATGTTTACAAATCAGAGTTGTTGATCTTTTTGACCTAACGACTCTTAGATGAGGTGTCAAACTTCAAATTTGACACTGGTGTCAAAGAATCCCGCCCATCTCTCTCTCTATATATATATTTATATATATAGAAAAATAGTTATATTATGTTGTAGGAAATTGGTTGTGTCATGCTATAGACACAATCAATGTGGACCCCACCATTTTCTTTTTTGTTCTTTTTTTAAAAAAGTGGTGGGATCCGCATTGGTTGTGTCTATAGCATGACACAACCAATTTCCTACAACTATTTAATAACAATCATGTTACAGGAAAAAGATTTATGTTATGCAATACTATCGACAAAACAAAATTATTGAATACACTATGTCTTCCAATTTCTTTATTATTATTTAACTTATCGTTTTCTGTTGTAGGAAAAGATTTCTTGCTGCGGCATGAAGAAACCAAAACCCATATATATATATAGAAAAAACAAGTATTATATTGTAGGAAAATTCTTAGATCATGTTATAGAGAC